AACAAAAAATTTCTTTAGCAAAATAAAATATTCCTTCTTTCTTACTTTTTAGAAACCTAAAAAAAAGATTCACTTGAAAAAATTTCTTTTTTTTTTTTTTCTTTTTTTTTTTCCTGAAATTTCCCAAAATTTTCTTAACATGGAAGCTTTTCCTATAAAAAGGATTCTTTTTTTTTCCTCTGTTACACGACAATCTCTTTTCTTTTTTTTCTGAAATTTCCCAAAATTTTCTTAACATAGAAGCTTTTCCTATAAGAAGGATTCTTTTTTTTTCCTCTGTTACACGACAATCCTTCCATCAAACTATGTTTATTTCTGTTAGAGCCGGCACCGGAGCCTCTGCCTGTCGCCGTCAGAGCCTCCTTCTGTCGTTGTCATAACTGCAACCGAAACAAAGCTCACCGGACGTCCTCCTGCATGCATGAACGTCAGACCACCTGCTGGAGCTCCACCTTGAGCTGAGCCTCTACCTACCCTCCAGATTTTATGCTGTCAATTCTTCAAATCTGCCAACAGAGCTTTTCAGACCACCTACTGCAAAATCACGTGCAACACACATTGAATTTGCTGTCGTCGAAGTTAAACCATGCTCTGATCACGAACCCGAAGCTCTAATAACAATTATTATGTGAAAATAATATGGAAACAAAGAAATTCATATAACAAAAATCAAACACAAAAGATTTACGTGGTTCAATGTGAAGTTGATTCGCCTACGTTTATGAGGAGAGAGATTTCACTATAGCACCGGATGAGAATTGGGTAGAAAGAAAAAAGGTTTGGCGTTGCAACTTCTGTACTTCTCACCACATCTCTCTCATAAGCCCGAAGTTTCTTTTATAGAGGAGCAACATGTCATACAAGTAAATAAAACCAAAAGACCAAATAAATCTAAACTAGAATAAAAGTCGTAGATACAAAAAAATTACGCATCTATCACCTTAAATTATATTGAATAGATGGTACTACCAAATCAGTTAGAATTAATTTAATGAAAATAAAATTATATGTATGTATGTTTGGCCAAAATGTCATGTTAGGCCTATGAAGTAACAAGAGCTTTTAGCCCAATCCATAAAATTGAGATTATCGAGCTGTTGAGTACGCAATATAAAATATAAACCAGCGAGTATAGAAAGCATAATGGACTCTCACTTATGAGTTGAGCCAAAGGAAGGAACGTTCAACGACATCGCCCCAAGTCACTTCGCCATCCCAGATTGGCCCGCCGGGGGAGGACAACACGCTCCGAAGGCAAACTAGTCCTATGGCAAACTCCCAGAAGCAGGCCAAATAAATTCTTAAAGATATCACACGACAAAGTGCACAGGGAACATAAGGTGAAATGCGGCATCATAGAAACAAAAAACGGCGCAGTAACACGGGGGAATATTCTCCCCCGTGTTATTCATGTGTTATTGTGGGTTATTTATGTGTTATTGTGTTATGGGAATATTTCTGGTGTTATAATAACACAATAACACATCAATAACACATAAATAACACACAATAACACATGAATAACACGGGGTGTTTCTATGATGCCGCATTTCACCTTATGTTCCCTGTGCACTTTGTCGTGTGATATCTTTAAGAATTTATTTGGCCTGCTTCTGGGAGTTTGCCATAGGACTAGTTTGCCTTCGGAGCGTGTCATTTACGATTCAGGAAGAATGATATAATGTTTTCCCCTATAATTCCTTCTCTTTGACCCCCTCTTTCCTCATTTTTATTGCAACTTTCGAGATTTGAATGGTCATATTACAAATAAAGACAACTAAGTGTTAGCCTTTTAAATATGACGACAAGTTTTTTTCCTATTCAAAATTACATCAAAAATATATGAGTACAACAGTGTGAGCATAATTATTTTTAAGGACATCCCCTCAAATCTCCTTTTAAATCATCTATTTAAATTCATAAATGAATGCCTTTAGCTTGTCTAGTTTATTTTCCCTTCTCCTTTATTAGTTGTATGAAACACTCTCGTATCTATTTCATATTATAATCATGCAAGGGCAATTAGTGAATTGATTACCATCTCTTACACTAGCAAAGCTCCCAATGCTATAAATTTTAGTTATTTATTTTATGACATTCATTATTATCAAAAATAGGTTGGCAATCCCATAACTAGCACTTGAATCTAATTAAAGTGAATAAATTGAAGGATGGATGTACAAAATTATGATAATGATCATTATTTTTTATATTACATAATTTAATAATAGTCTTATCCTCTAATAAAACTTGCATCATGACAAATCATTAAATTGTTTGCCAATTTTATATTGCAACAGCATAAATAAGTGATTATCTTGACTTAACCTATTACAAAGAATATTACATAATTTAATAATAGTCTTATCCCCTAATAAAACTTGCAACATGACAAATCATTAAATTGTTTGCCAATTTTAAATTGCAACAGCAGAAATAAGTGATTATCTTGACTTAACCTATTACAAAGGCATTAGAGGTTAGAAAAACGTATAAGTCGATGTATTCCTCTACTTATAGTGTATCCCAAAAGCCCTTAAAATAGCAATAGTTATATATTGATCACCCAATTTATCTTTCTCTTTTTAATAAATATCTATGTAAAAAGAGATGATACGACATTGAAGCCTTTTTTAAACACTTCAATATTAATATATCTTCCAGTCTTCTAAAATAATTTTAGTATATATTGATCTAAAGAAGAGGAATCTTGGTAACTATAAAGGGACCATCCTTTAGTCTTAGATGGCCACCACAGTTATGTTGAATGATATGTAGAAAAAAGAGCTTTAGCATCACAGTTATGAACTAACCTATATTCATTTTCAGAAAAAAACTTAAAATTCCTTCTTTCTAAGGTAGTGAGTATTTGACATGTCTTCTGAAGCTTCTATGAGTTTGGAAATTGGGTGATGACTTGCTTCTAGAATTCATCAAACAAAATAGTAACGCCTGAATGCAATTTTGGAAATAAATAGAGGTTGTCATCATTAAATTTTATTTAAAGATTATGATATGTTATGGCATTATAAGCCATTTAGAGGTTCATTATGGCCAAAGAATAAACCAAATATCTAATTATGATTTAATCATTTTGCCAATTAATTTGATGAACTTTGAACTTCTTAGGATGTATAATAGATTTTGTCCTTTTTTTAACGGAAGATTTCATTTTCATATTTCCATGCAAAACTGTATATTAATTAAATTCAGTGGCCATGATGAACATAAGCTTGGTTTAATGGCCAAACAAAAATAAAAGTTATAGAAGTCATCAGCCATAGCACGTTAAAGTTCTCATGCTAAACTAAATAGTTTGTAATCTATAAGAAAATAAATAGTTTAGTACATTTATGTCAAACAACAATTATTTTTTTTAATATTACACAAAACACTTGTACATCAAAATAATGTATGATTGTATATTGGTACCAGTAAGAAAATATGTATCATAATGCAAAATAGCCATGTAGATGCACGTCACCTCATCCTAACTAACATATAAAAGCTACGATTTGAAAGAAGTTTATGATAAAATTACCTATAAAGATGGAAGCTAGAAAACTAGAGATCATTCGAGAATTCTCCTCTTAGCTAAAAGAAAGGATGTTGATAGAATGAAATATTTAGATTTATGACAATTATAATCCATATATTAATTTAGTCTTAATCTTTGTTAATAAGTTGATCAACATGTGATATGGCCTAAGCTTCTTGGAATACAATGCTAGGATCACAAGAAAGACAACTTGATCATTTAACATATTCCTTTAATTTGCCTTGTAATACTATTAACACTTTTCCCTAATCATAATCATCCACTAATCCCTTATAAAACATAATTAGTGTCTAACCTATGGTTTATGCTTGATCCTTGAGGCTAAGTTCTAAGCATCTATTAGTTTAAATGATGAATTCAATCAAAATTAGGGTGATTTAGTTAATTAGAGTCAAATAGGTTCAATTATTGGGTCAAGGTGATTGAATTAACTTAATTGGGTCAAATGTGGTTTATAATTAGAATTCTCCCATAGGCCTTAAGATCCATTGTGCTAGCCAGTTTCAAGATTTGAGGCCCAATAAGTTAAATGGATCTATTTAGACTAGCATTTGCTCAACCTTATAACTTCATTGTGTTGATTCAACGTGTAAAGGGTCCTAATTAAATTTTGGTTAGCATAGGACATCCAACGAAAGGCTGATTTAATTTGGACAATTGGTTCAATTTGACCAAAGTGATCCAAATAGGCTAAGTTTAGGTTTAACTTAGGCTAAATGAGTTCATTAGGCCTATTGGAGTTCAATCAAATGTCAATTAACCTTTATTTAAGATTTAGTGAACTCACCCATGGTTTAACTTGTTAAACTCAAAAAAAAAAAAGCTTTGCATACATACCACATATTTTTTATATATGTATAAGAGTAGTTCTTAAACTTTAATTTTAACATTTGTAACTAGGGCTGTCAAAAAGGCTCGTTGTTCGCAAACAGCTACTCGTGTTCGACTCGTTAAGAAGCTCGTATTCGGCTCGTTAATTTTGTTCGATAAGTTAACGAGCTGAAAACATGAACAAATTTATTTGTTCGTGTTTGACTCGTTTTGGCTCGAAATACTACTAATCAATTATATATATATATATTTGATGAGTAGTATTTTAAAAAAAATTAATTGACTACAAGGCTACAAAGATTTATAATCAATTAAAAGTATCTTTTCTCAATTTTGAACATCTTATGACTACGTGATGAAGGTTGTCAAAACGATTCTTTGTTTGTAAATGGCTCGTGAACACTAATTTATTTTTTGAGCTCGAAATATAAACGAGCCGTATTAATGTACGAGAAAGCTTATCTCCACCTTTAAAAACTGATTAGTCATATTTTTTCTTAAGAAATTAAAGGTTGAGTGTTACAAATATAAAAATTAAAATACATAAGAATTATCTGGAAACAAATTTATGAAATTTTGTTATAAGCAAATTTTTGACGGCCCATCAAAATTTGCCATAGGAAGCGCCGCGACTGAAGCCCTAAGCCGTCGTGAAGCCACTTAGAAGAGAGTTGGTGCCTGAAGCCTAGAGATTCAGCTAGTGATTATGGAGCTCGGTTATGTCGGTGGAGTTCAGCTTTCGCTCTTCGCTTTGGTTGTGGCCTTCTTCCATGTCTCCGAGTACTTGCTCGCGGCAGCCATCCATGGTCGATCAAACGTTTCATGGAACTGTAAGGCCCAACTCTTCATCTTCTTCGCCTTTTCATTTTAAATGGATTTAAGGAATCACTCTATATCTGTATTTATTGGTGCATTCATATATAGGAGAAATCTTTTATTAGCATTACATGTGGTTCTTGCATGTTTGGGCGAAATCTTCTTCGTCTGTAGCTCCTAGATGGGAGGTTTAACAAGCAAAAATGAACGAATAAAAAAAAAAGTTTATTTTAGTAGGATGATATGTGTCTTTGCTTGCAAAAATTACAAAGCAAACTGCACTTCATTGCAACCTAAGAATTTTCCTTCTCTAAGGTTTTAGGGATTTGATGATCTTTCCTCATTATGAGCAGAAGTTTCTTTGTCTCATATCAAAATGCCTTTAGTTAATGACAAAAGAAGTGAGTTTGCACCAAATGGAAATGGCCATATAATACAGCGGTATTTACGTACATAGTACACAAAAGATTCGATTTTACATTTCTCGCACCTAAAGTTTGTTATTTACAAACATAGCACTCTAAATCTAAACTAGAAAAAAAACAAATAACACTTCCCATTAAAATAACTTAACTCGGTCACAATGTCGCCTGTCTGGCAGTAACCTAGCAGCACAATGTTGACCTTCTGAGAAGAAATCATGTGGAGAGGATCCCTAAAGTTAATGACCTCATAGTTTTACCTCATTAGTGCAACTTCCCAGGAGGTCACCATTCCCATGGGTTCTCCCGCATGAGCACACTTAACTTTGAAGTTTTTGATAAAATTTCAACGGTTACACCTAAAAGCACCTCTATATTTAAGAGTTTAGCTTTGTTCTACTTAAGGATTTCACAAATTCCCCTACTTAAGCAATTGACATTCTCGTCAGTTTTCTTAACCCAGAATCATTCGTCAGACATATATGATTCTAGAAGTAGCCCTTACAAATTTAAGAGATAACTCTCACTATGTAGTTCTTTGTGTCATCTTGACTTCAAGACGTAGTTCCCATGGCATAGCACTTTGGTTTAAATAACACTTAGTTTCCATATTCAGGCTAGTGTTATGTGTCATGCAATAACATTGTGGAAGCATCGAAATTCACACAAAAACTATCAAACACAAAAGATTTAAGTGGTTCGACGTTTACTTGATTTGCTTACGCCCACGAGGATGGGGATTTCACTAGCACTGGATTGGAGAAAGAAAAACGGCTTGGGGTTACAAATTAGTTTTTCCTCTCCATGTTACTCTCGTAAGTCTTTAAGTTCCTTTTATAGATGAGGACTGCGACATATGAGTAAATAAAACCAAAAAATTAAATTACTTTTAATTAAAATAATGCCATAAAATACAATAATATTCACCTCATCTCTTACATCCAGAGAAGTGAAAGATGATCAAATGAGCTTCAAACTCCAATTCAAATGTATCAGGATGGTTGCCTACGTACCCCCTCCTTTCCGACAGGAATCAAACATCGTGCATTTCTTCAAAATAGTTGCCTATGCAATTAGTTCTGAGCTCGGATGTTCACCAAACTCCTGCAGTATGCGAACTTCTGAACTGGTAATATTTCGTGAGTATGTCCGACGGATTCTCTTTCGTATCTATCTTCCTCAATCAAGTCCTGAACAAAGTGGTACCTCATATCTATGTGCTTGGTACGAGCATGATGAACTGGATTTGTGACCAAGAATATTGTACTCTAATTGTCACAAAACACCGTGAGAGACTTCTGATCAACTCTCAAGTCATTCAATAGACCTTATATCCTTATTGTTTTCTTCATTGCCTTCGCTACCGGCATATGCTTTGCCTCCGTAGTAGAAAAAACAACAACAGACGAACTAATGTCAAACTGATTCGACCTCCTGTTAATGTGAATAAATAATCAGTTGTTGATCTTCGTTTATTCATATCACTTATATAGTCTAAGTCAGTGTAGCTTACACACAAATCTGTAATAGATTATTGCATCTCAAACACCAAGCCATCATCAATTGTACTCTTCAGATACCTCAAAATATCTGGATTATGCACGAATCTGATCACAACATTAACTATTTGTGCAATGTCTGGTCTGGAACAACTCATGACATATATCAGACTGTTCATTGCACTAGCATAAGAAACTGATCACATATATTTATCTTCATGATTATTTTTAGGACGTTGATCTAAATAGAGTTGAAAATGAGATACAATTGGTAGACTCAACGCCTTACTCGAGTCATCAACCGTAAATTTTTTCAGCACCTTCCGAACATAAGTTTCTTGTGAGAGTCATACCTTTTTAGCTGTCTTGTCACTGAGAATGTCTATGTCAAGAATTCTGCGACCTTCACCTAATTTCTTTATTTCAAAATGTTTGGATAGTTGATTCTTCATCTTATCAATCTCAATTTGACTAGTAGATGTAATCAACATATAAAAACAAGTAAATAGACTCCACGAAATGCCTTATCCAAAACTTTTTTTTTATATTTTCAAAAGAAAAATTTCTCATTTAAAAAGTTTACTTTTTCTCTCAAAGGAAACTTTTACTTTTCTTTATTATTCACGCAAAACTGCCGGACCACCAGATCGATCTCTGAACCGCCACAAGAACCTTCAACCGTGTTGTTTCCTCTCCTTTTCCAAACCGCTAGGCAACTCACTCTCTGCCCTGCTGCGTTGGACCGCGTTGGAGCGCCATTTGACGTTAGATCCCGCCAGAATGTCGTTGGAGTTGCTAGAGCCATCGACAAAGCACGTCGGACTATGCGCTGCAAAAAAACTTAGGCAACACACGCCATATTTATTATTGTCGACGCAGAATCACACTCGATTAGGAACTTGAAGCTCTGATACCAATTGTTATCCGAAAACAATATGAAAATGTAGAAATTCACACAACAACAACCAAACACAAAAGATTTATGTGGTTCGACGTTAAGTTGATTCGCCCACGTCCACAGGGAGGGAGATTTCACTAGCACCGGATGGGAGAAAGAAAAATGGCTTGGGGTTACAACTCAACACTTCCTCTTCATGCTACTCTCATAAGCTCTTAAGTCCCTTTTATAGAAGAAGACTAGGGCATACAAGTAAATAAAGCTAAAAAATCAAATTACTCTTAATGAAAATAATACCATAAAATACAACTTACTGTTCTTATACCATTTGTAACAACCCAAACTCTTATCCGTTGTTCGCTTTGGCCTAACGACCTCACAATTTTGTCCTATTATTGCAACTTTCCAGGTGATCACCAATCCCAAGAACTTTCCCACATGCACTTGCTTAACTTTATGATTTGTGATGAAATTCCAAGTGTTAAACCGAAAGGCGCCTCGCGTTTAAGAGTTCAGATTCATTATACTTAATGGGTTTCACAATGTGTGTAAATAACGTTATTAAGTTGTGAAATATGTCAAAATCAAATGTTTTGTGTACATTGTATATATATCCCCCTATAATAAATTACTCTTATGAATTGGGAGTTCTTACTTCTCCTCAAGCCAACAACCCTTCCAGTATCCATACGAACACATACCCACCATATTATTATTAATGCTCTTTGTTAATCAGGATTAAGCTACTTTGCAGCAGCCATACAAACGTAAAAGGTTTGAAAATTGAAGCCACTGATTGATATGGTACAAGTTTTAATTTATTATTTTGATGTTTATCTAGGGCTGGATATGATGAGCATCATTTAAGTAGGAATATGCTTAGATTATACATATAACAACTGCAAGTACTGCAATTTTTTTCGGAAAATTTATATGCTACGTATAATGATATGCTTCTGAAGATAATTAATTGTGAATCAATTTTGCAATTCCTCTTTTATTTGAATAATAAAATTGTGATCATTACTTGTGCTATACATTTTGTCAGACGTATTTAATTGGTTTTTCTTTTGCTCTTTCTGCAGCTTTTTTGATCAGCAAGCAATATATTTTTGCTATGTTGTTTGCGTTGCTGGAATACTTCATAGAGATTTATCTTTTTCCAGAGCTGAAGGATCTGTGGTGGATCAGCAGTGTTGGTTCGGTGATGGTGTTAGTGGGAGAGATTATACGCAAAACTGGAATTTTAACTGCTGGTCGTTCTTTCACACACATCATCAGGGTTTATTTTGGGGAGCATCATGAGTTGATTACATGGGGAATCTATAGGTAACAATTGTTTAATAATTGCTTTGTTGTTGAATGTTGTCATGTGGAATTAAACTCATTGATTGAGATTCACTTCTCTATATGAGTACTTGACAGTGAATTCTCTGCCTTGTTTATTCTAGCAAGAGTTAATTGGGAGGGAAAGTTTTCTGAATTAATTATTTGTAAATATTGCAAAAAATTACTGCATGTTGACATAAGCGTATTTGATTTCTTTTACAATACATGCATATGCTACGCAAACACTTTATCTCTCTCTCTCTCTATCATACACATCTCCCAGACTGATTACTCACTCATCAAGCTAAAATCAATATTCTCGTCACCAAGTATTCTAGATAATTTCTTACCAAAACTGATTGGGATTTTATAGGTGGCACATTTTGCTGACATTTGTCCACTCCTCTTTCCATTCTATTTACATCTTATTCTTTGTCAATAGTCATAAAATGAACAAATGTAATAGTTAAGTTCCCAATTTTCCAATTCAATAGTTTACTCTATTATTTATGAACATTAATATCTTTCTATGTAGGCTTCTTAGGATGGCATATTTTTCCTTCAATTATCATTTTCTAATAATCAATGAAATGTCTGTGTATGTGTGGATTTATTTTTGGGAGGAGCATCATGATTATGCACTCAATTTAGGGTCTTTTTGGGACAGTTTTTTTGCTGCTATGCTTTTCAGACCACCACCATTGATCTATTTGGAGAATTATTTTCTTATTATTTTTTAGAAATTTTTGTGGTAGGAAGCTGTCTTTTTCAACTTGACATGTTCAAGTGTGGTGGCTGCTAGAAAGTTATTGTATGACTTTTTGAAATTAAAATAAATTTGTAATAACCATCAAAGTTTTTTAAACAACAGTTTCTTCTACAACAAGGTTGCAACTACTTTTTCAAACAGCTGCAGCTGCCCCAAACAGACCCTTAACCTTGATGTTGTAATTTTCAAATGCAACATCAAAATCAATTTTCTTCTTTAGCATATTAAAACTAGTTGCCATGATATTCCAGGCTTTAGAATTGCTTGATCACCAATTGAATGCATTAAAATTTTTAAAATGAGTGAATATGATTGGATGTCAAGATAACAACGGATTTTTCTCGGAGGAGCATGCACTCAGCTAAATTTTGATGTTATAACCTTCAAATGCAACATCAAACTTATCTAGTTTCTTTACATATTAGAATTAGTAGCATGCATGATATTCAAGACTTTAGAATTGCTTGATCACCTATTGAATGCATCAAAATTTTTAAAATAAGTGAATATGATTGGATGTCAAGATTAATACATGCGTACGGGCTTGGGGACACAAGAATTTATAAAAAAAGAACAAAATAATCAAATAAGTAGTAAAACAAACTAATAAACAAGCTCAAAAATTGAATGAGTACTTGACTTCCAATATTAACAAATAATTGTACATGTTTAATGTCCCAGTTTTTCAATATATCTAAAATTAATTTTTAACTAACACTAATTAAAGAAGATAAGAAATAACTTATGAACAAAATTCCTTTCAATCATACTTGAAAGCTAAAGTTTTTTTCCTTACAAAGCACATAAAAGAAACTATGTTGTGGCTTTTGAAATGAGAGAAAAGGGCAGTTATTGTTTGTTTTGAACTCATGGCTTAGTTTAGAGATAAACATGTAGCTTTGTATCTACCACCTTGAATCAAATTGAGAGCAGTGAGGAATGAAGGATTTGAAGCCCTTACTAGTCCTTGCCTTTTTCAGGCCTCTTATCTTGTAGGACGAAGACCACTTGCTCATGGACTACCTGTTGATGTGTCATTTAGAAGGCTCAAAGGGAGAAGAATTAAAGATGGTTTCACCTCCTTTGAGCATGCTTATGCGAGTTGTAACCTAACTAGGAAGATTGAAAGTTCTGTAACTTAAAAGCGAAGAATCAGAGGCATAAACAACAAGAGGTGAAATTACAAAATAAGATAAGGGAATTGAGGAAAAAAAATCTAGAATACTAAATAATTATATAACATTAAATAAGTAATTAAATAAATAATATTTGGCCAAATTATAATTAAATAATCTTCGAGTTATGATCATGCTTTTAATAAATTATATATTGAGCAACAATTAAGTTTGTTTTTGAATATAAAAAAAAAAAATGAATTGCATTCTATGTTAGGTTATTTAGATTGAGTTTTTATAAATATTTAAACTTTTTTAATCACTAATATGAATGAGTTCTAATCCAACCAAATTTGTGCTATTTCTTAAATGCATGAGTTCACTGACAGCCTTAGTTATCATGGAAGAAAATAAAAATAGTGAAATTCTAGGATGCTTCTTCTGGTGAATTTTAATTTTATCATCTTTTTGGATCATCGTGATTGGAGGAAACAAAAATAAAGTAGCTAATTGGCTACATGTTAGGTTCTAAAATAACAAAACTTGCAGGTTGAGGGACGACTCTTGATTAGGTGAATTGAGCTTAAGTTTATAATATGTCCCATTGTGAGGTCATATTATTGCAACATTTGATGAGAGAACCACTTTGAGGCTATGAAGAGGTTGTTTCAATATCAAAATTAATGGATTCATCTTAGTATGCAACATATTTGTTTTAAAGGTTTCCCGTGGGTGTTTTCGACATTACTTTGGCTTGCATGGTACTGTGTGCCCTTTGGGACTTTGGGATCTTGAGAAGATAAGTTTGGAGAAGAGTAGACAGGATATATAAAATATTTTACACATTATTAAGTCATGGAGGTTATTTATTATGATTTTTTGACTCAATAATTTGTTAAGAGAAATAAATAATAATATAGGCTGCTCTGGGATCTAAAACATTTTTATTTTTATTTTGGTGGTGGTTAAAATAAAATTAGATTTGAACTTTTGTTAGAAAATTTATTATTTAAGATAACTTCTAGTCAAAAACTAAACTTGATTTTGATTTAAAATCACCTCATTATAACTCATAAAAATAGGAGTTAAATAGGATGTGCTATGGGTTTTGCTTCAAAAGTTGGAAGTTAAGTTGTTCGATGCGAATTGGGGCACATGCTTGTGCGAAATTATTTTCCTTGGGTTATAGCTTATTGTGTCAAGAATTCTTGGTTTCTAGTTATGGTCGGAGAAGAGTGGGAGAGAGAGAGAGGGAGTAAAGAGAGACGTTGTTGCAGGCAAATTGAGAAGGAAAATAAACAGAGAAAAAATATATATATATATTTCCGGTGACCATGGAGTTCTATCTTGATGAACTGAATAAATAGTGTTGCCAGAAATAATGGGACGATTTCATATACGTGCAAAATTTACCCTTTTGTGACTTTTTTTTTTTGTTTATTATCTCTTATGCGGTTCTCCTGTTTATTTGATTTGAGAGGTTTACTTCTAATTTTGGTAGGATTGGGTGTAGTTGTATTGGGGAGAGAGTGCTTTCTTGTGCTCTTATTTGTACACCTATTTGACTTCACCATAATGGATCAATTCCTCTTTACTTTCTTGTGGATGTAACATATATATTGTTATGTCACCCTCTCGGTTTTCTTTGCAATCCTTAATTTCTTTTGTGATTATTTTGTGTGCTCATTATATTCAACTATGATAATATATGACATATATGCAAGGGAGTGTTATTCTTGTCATTTTTCCTAATTATTTTTATTCTTAAGCACCTTAAGGGATTTTGGCTCTAATTTTTAAATAGGACTTGAGAATTGATCTTATTTTTTACAAATGACATGTCATAGGTTTTTTAAAGCCAACTTAAAACAAATCTCTAGTTTATTTTGACAAACTTGGATTTAAGATTTACACCAATAGGATTTGTTAAATCTCTTGGAATCCTCCAAATCTTTCAATAGGCAATCAAATAGCCTTGAAATTTAGCTGGATTTAACTATTGAAAACCCAAACAGTTCTGTCTTTAGGGTTTACTAGATCCAACACTCAACCAAACAAGCCATAATCTATCTATCTATCTACATACATACATACATACATACATACATATATACATACATACATACATATATATATATATATATATATATACATACATATATACATACATATATATATATATAGATAGATAGATAGATAGATATAGATATAGATATAGATATGATTGTCTATAGGCTGTGGAGACAAATAATTGGTTTCTCAACTTGGAAGTTAAAGAGAACTTGCACTCTTGTGCACTATAAGGTGATATTTGTCAATATCATGATAAACAGAAGTCTAATCAGGAACAATATTGACCTGGCTTTACTTCTCTAGTTTACTTTCTTGAATACTTAGTTTACAAACTTGGAAATTGCAGTATTGTATATTGCATTGCACAGTTTAAACTTGAATTTTTGTCTGATTAAACAGGTTCATGCGTCATCCTGGATATTGTGGATTCTTTATATGGGCTGCTGGGACACAGTTAATTCTTTGCAACCCTATATCTACCATTGGCTTTATAGCCGTCACATGGCGATTCTTTTCAACGAGGATACCGTATCCTTTACTTAGAAATTTTTCTAACCATCTTGTTCTTGTCTTTCCGTCAAGTATGTGGATGTTTAAAGTTATGGTGTCTGCCACTTACAGTGATAAAGCCCTTAAAATTTGTTATCAAATGCTCGAGTTCATACCTCAACGACGCTATAATGATTTCCATCCTCCAGACTTTGGGGAATAAACCATGTTTTAAAATCCTTTAAATCATTCTCAGTGAGCAAATGATATGTTATTATTATTATTATGGATGCTAAGTTTGAACATTGGAATCCTTCATTTTTTAAAATAGATATGAAGAATTCTTTCTAAGACAGTTCTTTGGCACACAATACATGGAATATGCTCAACAAGTTCCCTCAGGCCTGCCTTTCATAAAATGAAGAGCAGCCTTGGAAATCAACTTGAAAATATTTTTCTCTGCAGTTTCTTCCTCTAATCGCCTGTTGTCGAAAAGCTGATGTTACTTAAACAATAGAAGTTTGCTCTTTTCAATTCTATGAATTGAGGTGGATGCATCATCAAAAGATGCCAATGTCTGTAGATTAACAGCATCATTCTTTTTGCCCTCTCAGGTTCCTATTTTGCCGAGGGAGAATGACTTCAGCTAAGTTTCATCAAATCATTTTTGAAGTTCCAGTTTATGTTGCCAAGGAAGAGAGAAGTCTTTCTTATAGTGGCAATATATTCTCCAAGAGCTGTGTAAAATTTTTTATGATGTTTAGTGTCAATTTTTGCATTTCTAAGAGTTGGTATTTCTGTATTATTTGTAACTATAACATACTTGTGTAAATAAAAATAGCATTCAATTCTGCAGTTTATTTATTGAAATGATACATAACCATTGTAATGATCAGTCTTTTATTTGTTTGGATTGTCATAGCTAAATGAGATTGCCTGTTTGATTCATACAACATTTTTTTGGATGGTCTTATCAATGTAAAATTTCAACTCAACATGCTTCTTCTAATTAGCTTATAATGAAGGATGTTTGGTAGTCAAGAATAAAGAATTAGGTCTCTATCATGCTCAATTTCATGAATGTTAAGTAACAAGAATGCTTTTTTAAAATATCCATCTCTGCTACCTGTTTAGATCGAGGCTTGAGTAGCCTCCAAATGAGGAAGCCTTTTCTCTTAATTTTATCTCTGAGCATAGAGGCGAAATCTGTTGTTGTGGGATCTCAATGTACCAGTTGTTCTTGTGGTATATTTATAAATCAATAAAATAAGAGAACGATTTTTTAAGCGAAAAATAGAAATAGAAAATTCATACCATAAAAAAGTAACATAGCGGAACACAAATTTACGTGGTTCGGCAAATTGCTTACGTCTACGGAGTTGCAGAAGATTTTATTACTTGAGTAATTTATATCAATCGATCACCTCGACTTACAAGAGGAATCTCTCACTTTGTTGCTCTCTCCTTCCTCTTTGTTCTTCTCTCTCTACACCGAAATGTACCGAAAAAACTCTACATCAATATACATCGAAGAAACTCTACACCGAGATATATCGAAGAAGATAAACTTACAATAGAAATAAACTCAATTTTTCTTCTGCCACAAACCACCAAGAAGAAGTCAAGAGAGAACAATTTTCTTCTTCTTTCTTCTTCTTCTTTCTTCTTTCACCTCAAGGAACTACTTCCTGCACTTTACTTCCTCTATCCCGAGGAAACCAAAGAACACCAACCTTGAATTCAAAACTTTCTTCTCTTATGTTCGCAAGTTAAAGAAGACGGGAGATGAGAACGGTTCACGGCAGCAGGGAGGCGCGACTCTTCGCGAATCGGGACCAGGGAGTGGCGGGAACATGTATCGCGACAGTGGAGTGTGAGCAATCGCGATGATTCACGATCGGGCACGACAGGCGGGAGCGGGATCAGAATCGGGCTCCAGCGCTAACAAAACCCTCTATATGTAAAAAAAAAAAAAAAAACGGTTAGATCAACATGAGAAGTCCTCGTATCAAATAAAATATTGTCTCATGATTCTAATTATCAGGATTGTTATATTTTCCCTCTAATGTCTTAAATTAAGAACATAAAATTCGTATTGCGGTTAAAAAAATCATGAATTATACTTTGTCCCTCTTCTCTGAATAAGTTTCTCTATGCAGCAAGAAAGAGTGCGGCTGGTAGCGGCAGGCGTCAGGCAGGGAGGGTAGCTTGCTGAAAGCATTTTACATTGTAATTCAAATTCAGTGTCGAATTTTAAATTCAGCCAAAATGTACTAATGTGTAAACTTTAAATTCATTCATTTTTTATATTATTGTATTTGTAAATCTTCATATCAAATATATAATAATTTAAAATCTTTGTAAAAAAAGTTAATATATATTATAAATTCTTCCAACCAAACTAACCCATGAGTTAGCTAAACTCGAAGGAACGCGCCAAGGTAATCTCACCCATCCAATATGTTGATCCAAATCAGGATTTCGGTCACCTCTCGATACCTGGCCACCAACCTAATCTCCTAAACAAGAAATCAAACTAGAGGGAGAAAAAGAGAAAGGATGGAGTTACTCTCAGCCCAAGTGCAGGGCATGCCCTCCGCAGCAAAGACGACGGCTTCATCCACTTCGTCGGAGAAATTTACTTATTCCTCACCCTCCTCCTTCTCCCAGTTCATCTCTTTGTCCACTCAGAATTCCTTCTCCAAAGGCCAATTCAGCACCTCCCCCCTTCTCCGGCTCTCTCCACGCCTTAGAACAAGAGAAAGGACAGGTAACAAAACCCTTATCTCTGATTCCTTAAACTAAATTTCTAAAGAACTATCATTATTTATTAATTCATTCAAATTCGTTAAAACTGAATTTGATGAAACACAATACACTTGTATGCTTCATAGATGTGTACTAATTTAAGCGGTGAGAAACGAAGAAGATTGGAGATTTTTAGGTTTTACGATGATGAATACAGGATCCCCCATCTGTGTTCTGCCACTGACTGAAGAGAATGTTGAGATGGTATTGGATGAGGTGCGGCCAAGCCTGATCGCAGATGGAGGGAATGTGGCTCTTCATGAAATTGATGGCCTTGTTGTGGTGCTGAAACTTCAAGGGGCTTGTGGCTCATGCCCGAGCTCGACCATGACACTGAAGTTGGGGATTGAGACTCGGCTCATGGATAAGATACCAGAGATTATGGCTGTTGAGCAAATTCTTGATACGGAGACTGGGCTAGAACTCAGTGAGGAAAATGTTGAGAAGGTCAGTATATTGTTAACTATGGCTTTAATTCTTGAAACTTCTATTTCAAGATGTTTGCCTGTGGATACTACTTATATGTTTGGACTTCATTTCGGATAAGATGTGAAAATAGTCTAACAATATAAGTCTAAACCCTAAGCTGACCACTGCTGGTGGGATAAAGCTAATCAATTAGGAGACCCAGAGTGTGTAGCATTACACTTTCTAATTTACCAAGAAAGTCATCAAAAATAGACTGCTTATATTAATGATATAAAGTTTGGATACAGCCTTGTCCGCAAGCTGTTATGGGTGGTAAAGGAATGAATGGAGCAATAGGTGGTCTTAATGGCAAGCTATCTTCTAAGTGAACTTCACGTTACTGAAGTTACAGTCTTTTATTTGTGATATCAGGTCCCTGCATTTTGCTAGCTGTAGATGCTTGAATTTTCTAATAATATTTGAGATATCTACATGCTAGACTATGCTTATTGTTTTATGGAATGCTGCTTTAATAATATCATTCCAATTTGTGACCAGATTCTTGATTAATATGAAAAAATGTCAAATGAGCGGCTCTTGAAAAATGGTTGTGGGTGATATACAACAAAAACAATAACGAATCTTTATCCCACTAAGTGGAGTCGGCTACATGAATCTTTTTTCTCAATTACAGGTGATGTTATATAAGTTATATTAAGAATAAATCTTCACACAATCTTTGGATTTGAGACTTCCGAAACTTAACTGAGGATCCTCTGAACTTTAAATTCAGCTAAGTTATAATCAAACTGAACATCTCGATTGTATAAACCCCATGATACTAATAGTGATCTAATCCGAACCCGAACGAGCTCAAATCAAGGACTTAAAACGTAACAAAAAATTTTATAACATTAATTAAAGGGTTAAACAGTCTCTGAACCTTGTACACATACAACAAATCGAGCATTTCACATAGAAAAATCTAATGAACTCAATAGCACTCGATTTTAAGGTCATTAAGATGCTTAATGCAAAGTAAATGGGACATGCTCAAAAGAATCAACATGGGTCATCCAATAGCATGTTATGAGACTTTGAACATAATAATTGAAACTTTATTCCAAGAATTGTAATTATAAACTCATTTTCAACATTGGGGGACTTAGACTTAAAATTGTAGAGAGTTTAGAGATCTACAAAATTTTAGAGCTGTCTAACAACCAACATCAATAGCCACCTCTAACAATCTTTTTCAAATAATTGTCATCACTCAACTATCGTCGTTTGAGTATCATCACCCGATCCCAGTCACAAGATTATCCAATGAAACCTTATTATGATATCTTGAACATTATCAGTTTAACCTCGCTTTATTGTGCTTTACGGCCAACTCATAATTATCAACCAACCTTGGTGGACTTAAATCAACTCGGCTTACTGGCATCCTTTATAATTTTATAAGGGATGGATTTAATCACCTTGTCCAAGTGGCACTTCTTTTGAGGGATAGGAATTAACTTAACCCCTTGACACAACTTTCAGGAGTCTTTGCCTCTCATTGAGACAACTCTCTCCTTCAATTCTAAACTATTATGTATATCCAACACATGTAATAGGATGATCCCATCATTAAAGCATCCCAAAGAAATTAAGCTTCTCATAAAAATATAATTGTTATAACCGAAATAAATGCCATTATTTAAATTGTTATAACCGAAATATTTATAAGAAACAATTTGTTATCTCTATCTTCTGAAGTTGCTTGGAGATATACTATTTTAAGTAAATTTTTAAACATTATTGTATTTTATCTTTTCATTTAGAAAGATTTATGGGGGTAAGTAGCATATAAGGTCTCCACTCTAAATCATTGAAATGTGTGATGATAAAGAAGCCTATATGTGAAGTTAGTAATGTGTTGGATTTTCACGCGAAATACTCCATGAGAACAATTATTTGACATGATTTTTAATTATCAAAAAATTTTAGAAAATAAAAGCCTTAGAAGGTACAAGTTATCCAAAAATATCATAAGGGAACCTCAAAAAAATACAAGTTCTTCAAAAATTTTGGGAGTAAAAAATCTCAGAAAGTACAAATCATCTAAAATTAAAAAAAGCAAAATTCTCAAAATATATATGTTCCTTTGCCTGACTAAAATCTCATATGTACAAGTCTCAAAGGGTCTCAGAGGATTAGAGCACGTGGCTACGAACCACGGTGTCGGGGGTTCGAACCCCTCCTCGCCACAACCGGCCCAAAAGGGAAGGGCCTTTCCCTGTTTTTCCTACTTCATGAAATATAATTTTTTTGTTTATTAAAAAATCTAATAAGGCTTAAATCCTATAATGTATAAATATTTTAATTGCTTAAAAACCTCAAGAGATGTAACCACCAGAATGTACATTGCCTCAAGGGGTGAAAGCATTAGAATGTACATAGCTTTTATTTATATTGAGAATATATATTAATCTTTATTACAGACATCTCTACTTATTAAAAAATCTCTTCGAACCCCCGACACCGTGGTTCGTAGCCACGTGCTCTAATCCTCTGAGACCCTTTGAGACTTGTACATATGAGATTTTAGTCAGGCAAAGGAACATATATATTTTGAGAATTTTGCTTTTTTTAATTTTAGATGATTTGTACTTTCTGAGATTTTTTACTCCCAAAATTTTTGAAGAACTTGTATTTTTTTGAGGTTCCCTTATGATATTTTTGGATAACTTGTACCTTCTAAGGCTTTTATTTTCTAAAATTTTTTGATAATTAAAAATCATGTCAAATAATTGTTCTCATGGAGTATTTCGCGTGAAAATCCAACACATTACTAACTTCACATATAGGCTTCTTTATCATCACACATTTCAATGATTTAGAGTGGAGACCTTATATGCTACTTACCCCCATAAATCTTTCTAAATGATCAGGCTAGTACCAATATTTCACATCACTAATGTTGACACTTGATGTCGATATCAAACTAAAAATCAAGCTTCATTTTTAGCTGTATGTAAAATGAACATATACATCCATATTAAATTCAAGTAGATTGAAATAAAAAAAAAAAGACAAAAAAAGTTGTAAATACATAAATATTATGAAAGGAAGTAAATGATTGAATTTTCTCTCTAACAACATTAAATATGTTGAAATAATCATTCATTTGAAACTTCAAAAAGATTTCTACAATAATAATGTTGTACATAAATCACTGAGCAATAACCACTCGAAGATTTTCCAAAAAATATAATATATTTTGAAATTTTTTTATGAAGTATCTATACATTCATAGGCGTATTTACAAAAAATTTTAACTTGTTTTTAATAGATAAATCATAGTAAATTCTTGTAGTCTGTCATCAACAAAATGACAAATTATATTTATTTGGTGGAGATGCATTTACATTCATAAAAAATTTTAATTTTTTTCATGATTAATGTAATTATAAGAATTCATCGAAGATAAGAAAACATCAATCTCAACGGGGCAACCAAAAATTAAAATTTTTCCAAAATTTTAAAAGACAAAATTTTATGATGAAAATTACTTAGAGAAATATACAAATGCACATAATCATCTAAAAAAGGATCGATATTTTTAAAAGAAATGCAAAAACAGGCAAAAAAAAAAACAGTCAAATTTTAAAAAACAGTCAAATTTTAAAAAATATATATATATATATCAAGATACCATACAGATTGACTTTCTTCTTCCACCATCTTCACATCACCATATTAAAAGCATGTTACTACATCAATTATCATTCTCTAATATATATTATACTAAATTTTAACGGTCGTTAACTTCTTTGGATGAGAAAGTCAAAACTTTCAAATGCAAACATTGAATCTAATTTGTCCGAGCAAAGGCTATCAATTCATTTTCATGGAACATCGAAGCTCCCTACAATAATAAAAAACTTTTCTCTTACTTTTGAATCATTCTATCAAATGAAGAAAATCAACTCGTTTTTAGAGAAGAGCAAACCTCCGCCTAAACGATTGAGAAATTTGGGTACCTCAACAATCCAAATGTAGACAATCGCCTTTCTTTCTTTCAAGGAATGTCCGAAATTTTATTGCATGAATTATATGTGTTGGCATGAGCTTTTCCCTTACCATGAGGGTTAATTATTCTTGAAGGAATAAAGATAAGTTAACAAATAAGAGTTATAAAACCTAAAGATGAGAGTTATACTCATTTTCCATTAAACAGGGTTATAAATATTGAAAGAAAAGAGTTACAAAATATAAGGATGAAAGTTATGCTCAATTCCCATCATGAAAAGTTACAAAATAGTGAAAGAATGATGTTATAAAATTTTGAAGATAAATTAATCAAGATATGGTCTAAAACATTATTAAAAATATGATTAGAAGGGTTATCAAGGTGTGTTCTAATACATTTTAATAATGATGATGAAAGATTTATCATAATGTGGCATGCGATTAAGCTTACATAGCTCATGATTTTTTGAATGGCATTATTTTTGAACTTGAAGAATGTTAGACCAAAGATATGAGGGTAAATGATTCTTCACCAATCTATATATATTTATATATATATAGTGGCTCAATCATTATCTCCTGACTGTCTTTTTTTTTTTTCGTTATTTCCAAACTTTTGTCATGTGATTGCTATCTTCCAACCTTCAACGTCCTACTGTCATCTTCCAATCATCATAACCCAATCATTATAGCTTGACAGTTGTCATCCGATTGTCGTCTTATGATTATTGTGTAATCCGATCACCGTTGCTCAACTGTCATAATGACCTTTTACTATCTCTTCTATAATCTTTATGATAGTCATGTGATATTAAAAAGTGATTTCAAAATTTATCATCTCATGCGAGTTTTTATAAAATCGCATATATAATAGATTATTTCAACTAAGTCCCCTAATTTTTTTCACTTTTTAAGTTATCCATATAGAAACTCTAATTCCTCATATGAACCTCTTTTTTATGATTACTAAGACAATATCTTATTTTATTACTATAAAGATTCTAGCATGCAACAACAAGTATATCATTCATCAAAGATCTGTTCAATCCTATATCATAGGATTGTGATATTAAAATACTGTCCAAATTATGGAAATTTGGAATTATAGATTCCAAATCTTTTTTTACTACCCTGCGTTAACTGATTTTGAAAGACATGGATATTATCTAGGGATTCATCTTACCAAGTGAGATTATGCAAGTGATTTCAAATTTATATTCTCCTACAAATTTTTATAACATCACATATATATAATAGATTATTTCAACCAAATCAGGACCCCTACTTTTTTTTCTCTTTTTAAGTTATTCACATAGAAACTCTAATATCTCATATGAACCGCTTTTGTATGATTACTAAGACATTAATATGTTATTTTATTACTATAAAGATTGTAGCATGCAACAACAAGTATATCATGCTTCCTAGATCTGCTCAATCCTATATCATAGGACTGTGATGCTTAATATTCTGTCCAAATTATGAAAATGTGGAATTATAGAATCCATATCATTTTTTATTACTCTGCATTAACTGATGTTGAAAGACACGATTATTATCTAGGGATTCATCTTACCACTGTCAAAGCTCTTCAGGGTAAACAATCATTTGTCCATTTGCAACTTGTTCGTTTTCCTCCATGAATTATATTGTCGCCTCGTGAATAATTGCATTGTTTTTCTTTCCTGAAGGGTAAGGACTATGTTCTCACAAGATTATTTTGGTTGGAAATTATAGTTTTATGTATATAATTAATATTTACAAGAAAATAAATGGAAGCATTGACATATTAGATTCAAGAACGTCAAGTACCATCATGTGATCTCCAATGACTTAACCTTACTGGATTTATCTAGAGCACCGTTAAACAACAAGATGTGGATATATATGAGGATGACTCATTAAAGATGAGTGATTGAAATGGAGAAGAACATCAAGAGTATCATAGATAGATTTTATTAAATCACAATTAGATTAGCTATATTATATGAATCAAAATGTCGGTCAACGAAAGTCATAACCAATTGAATGTGATGGCATAAACATGGGTGTTGATGAGTTAAGTTCAAGTCATATTAGCTTGACTCAAAATTAAAATTTTCAATTCCTACTCAACTAAAATTCAAACACAAGTCTAAATAAAAATTAATTTGAGTTGACTATTTGAAATTATTTGATTCCTAGCAATCAAGATTGATTTCAAGTTGACTTAAAAATTTTTAATAAAATATGTGTATGTGCAAATATGTGTGCGTGTGTAAAATGTGGGCAACACGTATTATTTCGAGTAACATTCAAGCAATATCTAGTTTTCACTAGTTTTTCTTGTCTTGAAGTTTGTTATATTGCCAACTAAAATTCCAACATGACAGTTTATTCTTGCCACTATTTTTCATAGGTTCTCTCAGAGATAAGACCATACTTAGCAGGCACTGGAGGAGGTGCCCTAGAACTACATAAGATCAATGGCTACATTGTAACAGTCAGATTGAGTGGACCTGCAGCTGGAGTCATGACTGTAAGAGTAGCTCTTTCTCAGAAACTGAAAGAAAAGATACCTTTGATTGCATCAGTTCATCTTATAGAATAACATACTTGAATCAAGGTTTTTGATAAATTTATATATTCTGTACTGTACAGGCTACTTTATTTAAAGCAGAAATCCTTCTGTCTTTTCATCACCTGACGTCACATGTGGTTAGAGTTCTTAAAAAAAATGATTTCAAATGAATTGAAACATTTCCAGTCTTTGGAGAACTTATTGTTAACTATAAAGGAAGTTTGCCCTTCTAAAACTAATATATTGCACATCAGGCTTATTTTTAATGTGTATGGTTTCCACTGCTTCCATCTCAAGCGATTATTTTCTAATAACATGAAGCATTGGCCACAAGAGCCTTCAGCCTGCAGATCATCTTTCTAAATGTTTTTAATTTCTCCTCATCTTGAGCCTTCACTAGAAACTCTCCCAGCAGCTGAATTCCTCTCTGTGAAGGAAGCCTTCCTCTCTCTCCACTACTTGCTTAAAGCATTCATGAACCTCTGCTACTTGGCTACTTAAGCCAAGATAGTTCCATAACTCCCACCAACCCCAGATCCAATTTATCTTTCTCATGAAAGAACTTCTTTAAAAGCATCACTGTTCTAGTACTTGGGCACAGGTCCTTTGTCCATCATCCTCCTACAAATCCTTAAAGCGCCATCAAAATTCGCTGAGGTTCTATACTCGCATAGCATTGTATGGTAGCTCACATGATAGAAATCAATTCCCTTCAATTACATGTCATCCAACACTTTGAATCCAGCCTTCGTATCCCCAGCTTTTTAACAACGGTGCTCATCAAAGCATTGTAAAACCATAGATCGGGTGAAAGACCTTCCTTAGACATTTCATGGAAAAGCTGGAGCGCAATAGATGGTTTTTTTCGCAATGCCATCCCCATGGAATTAGAAGCTGGGGAAGTTTCAAGAAAAATGATTTTTCTGGCCATAGGCACCAATTTGGATGCTCTAGGTGACGACGATTGGTTGAAAGCAGTGGTGGAGTTCTTGGTAGAAGAGGTAGAGGCAGGGAAGGTCTCGCGGAAGCCAAGGAGGAGGTTGGTTTGAAGCAGTGGGAATCCGAGGGCATACCGGAGTAGAGAAGGCGCCTCGGCAAGGCGACTGAATGCACAGAAGGTGCATAACACGGCAGTCAGCTCTGCTTGGAAAAAGCTGTTGATGGCGGAGGTAAAAGCGGTTGATGGAGAGGAGCGGGGAAGATAGTAGAGGAGTTGGGTGAGGGAGGAATGAGAGAGAGAGAGAGAGAGACGAGGGGAACAAGGGGAAATGTGGTAGTAGGAGCAGTAGGGGGTGGTGGTGAACTGCGGGAAATGGACTCTCATTGATGAGCTAGGCGATGTGGTCGATGACTGCAACGGGTGGTGGCCATTGTACATTTGGGCTTGAGATTCAAGGTCTGTTTGGGGTAAGTAATCTGCTGATAAGCTTATATGTTGTGGCTATTATAAATTTTTATTTTTTTAGAAAAATCAGACAATCTGCTGATAAGCTTATATGTTGTGACTATTATAAATTTTTATTTTTTTAGAAAAATCAGACTGTTGTCAGAAAGTTGTTACCGCACCTAGATAGGTACAGAACGTTTTGAAAAATGCATTTTACCCAAACAGGTTAGGTGCTTTTTCAAAACGTCATCGCACCAAATAAACTGTCCCAAACTGACCCTCAGTTTCCATTGCGTAGGAGCCGTTGATAGCTTTAATTTGAATTTTTTGTAATCTTAGCGATTGTTTGGACCGCTAATTGAAGTGCCACTTCTGATGTCAACCGATAGGCTAATATGATGTACATATTTGATATTTCTCGTCTTTTGATGAAACAATATTAATATATGAATAAAATTATAGTTCAAATAGAATTTTAAATTAAATATGATAAATTATATAATAAAGTTTTGAAATTGTTGTGAAGCTTTTCAATATTTTAATTATATTATTAGATTTCAATTCAAATCAAAAGGAAATATCTTCTTGCATAATCTGAATTCCAAATTCATAATTTTCTTATGACTCGATCAAATCATTTAAATTGAACTGCTCTTAGATTTTAAGAGCTTAATTCTGGAATTTTTTAGTCCTGCTTTTTAAGATACTATCTATTACTCTTTTCCGAGAAAAAAATTTAAAGGCTACATGTTCTTGTCTAAAAAAATGGATGCTCAATGTGATAAATTAATTAAATAACATGATATATTTAGTATAAATAATTGGTTATAATCTTGAAACATAGGATTGAATTGAATTGTTGAATCGTGAATTGTCCTTTGTGGACATGCCCTGAAAGTTTAGAGTTGAGTGAAGGAATGAACGAAGAAAGAAAGAGAGTATAACCAGTCAAGAGTTTCCTGTAGAGAGAATTGAGAGACGTGTTTTGTACAATTACTGAAATGAGTGAGTAGTTATGGAAACCGCAATGGTATAATTAATCGTATATATTTTATACTATGGGTACTATAATTTTAGTTTAAACATGACAGTAATTGGCTGGACAATTTGCTTGAATTTGTTCGACTGAATTAATCAGTTGATTGGCGATCGCGTCGTTGGTTGGTCGGCTGAGGTGCCCGATTAAGTGTCGATCTCGTCTGTCGTGGTAAATGCGGGTCATCCGATTTATCACGATCAAGGATTCTCGTTGCGCTCTGGTCGATTAGAACTATCGGTGTGGTTCGTCATTCAAATCTCTCGTCATGGTGTGCCGGTCGATTCTTGACCACGTCGCTAACAGTAGGTCGGTAGGAGGCATTGGTTGTCTAGTCATCGTCTGGGCTGTTCGAATGTTTTTGGATTCACGCTGATAGTTTTGGTATATACCTGAATATTTCATAATATTTATTTAAGCTAAAAATGAACATTCACTAATTATTTAGATTAGTGTAGTAACTTTGGGTTCAAGACTTGGTTCTAATATTGTCCTATTGCACTATTAGATTAGCTATAAGACTCATAACCATAACTCAAGGTGGGTTAGATGTTGACTAAAATTTTAAATGAAACACCATTGATCACTTGAGAATATGAGGTAATTGGGATATTGAAAATAATGAATAAGCCTAGTTAGAGCATTTTTTTTATATTCTTATGGATTTCTAAGATTTTCTGACTGAATAGTAAAAAAAACATGAATATTTATTTGAATCGGTGATATAAATAAATAAAATATTAATAATCAAGAAGCATCTAATATGATCAAAAGTACTATATTGAGGAGCACAAATATGACTAAGGTAATCAAATCAATTAGATTATATCACATTATGATAGAAACATCAAAAGAAAGTATAGAAGAATCTTCCTTATCATTTGATTACTAAATAGATCATAATATGTGTCATTTATTTACTTTTATGATGCTTTCTTGTTCATATATTTCATGATATTCAACAAGTGTTTTTTTTTTTTGTAAGAATCCTAGGAGTCTTGTTTTGGGATACCTTTCCTTTATTTTGTTATAGCATCATTCATTTACTATTTAGAATCATCATTTCTTATTCAAATCAATAATCATTTAAACATATCATATGTGTTTTATCTCTTTTGTCATTATCATGTTCATCTTATTTGTATCCATCTATACTTATAACATTCTAGTACATGTCAAAGAGATATGCATCATAAGATATATAAAGCAATAATGAAGATTTTATCACATAATCATAATAATTTATGATTATTCATGAGAAGAAAGTGATCAGAATCAACAATCATCATACACATGTGATAGCTTAAAGTCTACAAAAGATGGCATAGCTCCACCTGCTCTATGCCCCATGTCAATATCTTCTCTAGTTTTTCTAGCTTCTAAACACTCATTTAGTGTTCTTAGTCAATTGAAATAATAATATTTTTTTTCTTTTAAATTCTTACCCATTATATAAAAATAATGAAAGTTATCTAACAACTTTTACATGGACTAGTGGCATACTTTTAAGTGTTTTAGTATCATTATTTACTTTTTATCATCTTAAGCGTGTAGAGTCTCCTCATAGGTTTATTTTATCCTATTTCCTAGTTTCATGCTAAAATAAATTGATTCATGCAATATTTGATTTGTTGAATGATAAAGCTAGCCTTTGCTCATGGAGACTACACTGTCAATATTATAGTTTATAAAAAGTATACAACATTCTTTTCTACTAAGTGATTATATCATACTTATGTACTTAATTACCTCTTGCTCAAAACACTCGATTTTAAAGTATAAAGGCAGTTGACTCAATGATGATGTTTTAGGAAGTTTTATAAGATTCTCAGTGATGTCTTAGGAAGGTATATAAGATTCTTAGTGAATTCTATTAATTTGTTCCAAGAGAACTAATTCTGCTTACTTAAAATTAGCCAAGTCTTCTTATAACAATTCAGCTGAGATAGGCACTACTTAAACTAACTAAATATAATGAGTCTAACTAATGGCTATTCAAATATACCTATTTCAATTTGGTTGAATCCTCTTATATGCTAATCTTTAAGCATAATTCAACTTTTAAGTCCTTAAATTATCACATTCTCTCCACCTTAAAAATTTATTTCCTTAAAATTTATACCATGTAATTCTTATTGAGTTCTATTAATTTGTTCCAAGAGAACTAAATCCGCTTACTTAAAATTAGTCAAGCCTTCTTGTAACAATTCAACTGAGCAGACACTACTTAAATTAACTAAATCTAATTAGTCTAACTAATGGTTATTCAAATATACCTATTTCAATTTAGTTGAATCCTTTTATATGCTATTCAATAAGCATAATTCAACTATTAAGTCCGTAAATTATCACATTCTCTCCTCCTTAAAAATTTATTTCCTTAAAATTTATACCATGTTAGTTAATGGTGGTTAAAGTGAGAAGGGGTAGTCCTCTCTATGCCAAAATTCTCTTTATAATTTTGTCCGAAGCGGGTGCCTACTTTGGAATGGAAAGTCTCATGAATAAGATTTATAAATAGTAAGTAGTTAAATAATAGTTAAATAAATGATTGGTTTGCATAACTTTTATTGTATTTTACACTATACTAAGTGTATAAATATATTCAATGTTAAAATATATTGATGTGTATGTAATTGTAGTTTATTATACAGGATCATGCATATACTTATTTTGATGAATATATATA